GAACAGGGAACGGGGAATGGAGGCTGGAGACAGTTCCTCGAGAAACTGTTTCCAGACTCGAGGATGGGGGGAAGAGTAGTGTACATGGTCAAGCAAGCAGTGGATGGCAGACGATGATTGCCCGTACACTGCCTTGTGCACAGTCATGCTCGCTCAGACGGACAACAAGGCACAGAGGGTGGAGCTGGGACGCGAAGAGGACATGCAGCTTACCTGGTTGCCAACAGCAGTGGAGAGGGGCGCTGGTGTGGTGAATGGGAGCGAGAATACCAGATCCTCTACTAAGCGCCTGGGGGAAGGAGCGACTAGGCCGGCGATGCGCCTATGCCTGAGATGATGCGGCGTAGTGGGTAGAAAGGTCAAGTGTCGGCGACGCTGCGGGTCTGCGTGGTGAGGGGAGGGCGGTGGTGAGGAAGGCGCTCTCGACGTGGCTGCCGCGCTCACAATTGTCGTGTATTGCGACACACTCTGGACTCGTGGTTGCTGTGGTGGCAGAGTGTGACCAGCTTAGAGCGGACGAGGGAAGCCGGTCGATCGCAGAGCCGCTGCCGCCTGGGTGTTGGGGGGAGGGTTGGTGGGTAGGCGAGGCGAGCACGCTGTGTGTCGTGATTGAGGCGGCGTGAATGCGTCTTGTCGATGGATGGGGGAGACGAACTGCGAGGCAACGCTAGTGGTGGCTCTGTGGAAGCGCCGACGTTCCAGGAATAGCAACCGCCGCCGGTGCGCTACGAGGCAGCTGCGACCACTAGCACACTAGCACGCCAGGGCCATGGGCCACACTACACAAACAGACCAGTCCACTCAAGCACGCCGCCTTACAACATGTCTACCGTACCGCCGTCGATCCATAGTTTGCAGCCTGCAAGTAGTCGTCCTTTGCCTCGCTCTAGCAAACAAAATCTCTCCTCGCCTCGTCCACACGCTCACACCCACACACGCCGGCGGATGACTTCACCAGACTGCCTTTGTTCCCCGGACCTTTTCGAGTCTAGAGTAGCCCCCCCTGGAAGGCCGCAGCCTGTAGACGGGAAGGCCCAGACGAGAAACCTCGGAAAGAGGTAGGGGTCCGCTCATATTGCAGCCACCCCAGACAGTACCTAGCCATGTAATCCGTCCCGTCTCCGGCCTGGACGCACACGAGATAATTACTCGTCGTTCGCGTCCATCGCAGCAGCCCGGCCAGCGTCGTCATTAATGTCATTATCCTACAGCCAGGAGACCCTTGCCTCGCTTCGCGTGCCACAGCCATCGTTTCGACACGCACTGCTTCGTCGACTGCGACTGCCTTCATCGCAGCCTTCTGAGGCATGCAAAACAGTCCAAGTAAATATCTCTGACGTGAAACGCACCGTGGAAAGATATCGACCCACATGTTGGCGTTGGCGGGGTGAGAATTCCGCGTCTTCGTCATGTGAGTACTACCACGCGTTTCATCTCTCTGCCGTCAGTTTCGTAATCCTAAACCCACTCACAACATATGTGGAACTTTCTCCCGCATAGCTGTTAGGCAGAGCCGCAATCTATGCTGTACCTGCCGAAACTTATTTCCACCTCTGCCGCTGCCTGTGCCCTGAATGCTGATAGTTTGTTCTTCTGTCACGCAAAAACCCGATTCGGCCAGCCCACACCGAATGCGTTTCAGCATCTTTGACACCGGCAGAATCCGTCCAAAAAAGCAACGCGACACCGAAACAGGCATCCATGCGAAGATCCGCCGACTCAGTGCATTCCGCCTCACCTTGACGGGCACGTGCTCTTGAGATCGGGATAGGGTTGACTGAGCGACTCAGTGGTGGTTTCCATACTTATCAATTTGCAACGTGGAGAGATCAGAGCCCAACTCTTCGCTACCACGCACATGGTACACTCGACTGAGTCGAGCGTCGTGAGTGTTCTGGCCTCTGGACAAGGCCCCTAAGACGGCCCGAGTCTACGTGCCATCACCGTGCTATCTGCCATGACCTTACAACAACCAGACTATCATAGAAGCTGTGGTAGAACATGTTAGTTCGTCCGCTATTAGGGCTAGTTGGACCAAGTAGCATACTCTTCGACATAAGGGGTGATATATCACGGGCCTCTGTAAGGTTCAGATGTTTGCGATCGTGCTCGCGGACCGAGGAACCTAATACTATGCGACGTCTTCGACCAACAAGCAGGGACGTGCCAGCACTTGTATAATTGTTGGTTGACCTGATCGTAGGTTTGGTTGTGCTTGGTGTCTCAACATAGCCAAATTACTTCAATGCGCCCCTATGTTTACACAGTACTTGAAATGCAACACGTCACCATATCGACTGCGCGCATGAGGTACTCAATTAGATTTGTGTCTGGCATCAACAGTACAATATGCCAATAACAATAACAGAGATGAAAGTCGTGCCTCCGATATTGACTAGCGCTACGGCTACGACTGACGCCTATGTAAACTTCCTGGTTGAAACTATAGTGATACTAAAGACAAAGTAGATAGATGATCGAGTATGAACGGAAACAGTGATTCAGATACCCCACGAATCACAAGACCGAGCCAGTTTACAAACTTCATTTCCACAGCGGGTACCTATTGATGGTGCTGACCTTGAAGTATGCATCTCTCCCATGATCTGTCAATTGCACTAAAGAAAGGACGCATGACAAGACATGTAGCTTCTGCATACAAATCCTCAGAACTTGTTATGTGTCATCTGCAAGCCCGTCGCCATGAGCATTGTCAAGGTAAAAGCATTCTATTAAGTTGTCGTTCATGCTCTCCGCACAACAGTCTTGAGACTAGTCATAGATGCTGGAGACATCTGCAGTTTTCTGAATTTCAAGATAGCATCTCACTTCAAAGTAGACAGCCGTAACAGTGGTTTTCGATATGTGACTTTGGACTACAATATGTTTTCAAAGTTCGTAGCGCTTGGTGCGATGCATGTGAAGATGCTCCAGCTCGCACGCAGCGACCAATGACGCCAAGCCCAAGACGGCTAGCGCGACACCACCAGTGGTAAGCGAGAGTCGAAATTCAGCGAGAACATTGACGATTCGAATCTTCTCTCGCGACAACTAACCACCAGGTCAATACACAACAGCCACCATGTCGAGGCCAACCGTCACCGTCGTCTCCGCCAAGGGCGAGGCCACCAAGGACACCGTCCCCGTGCCCAATGTCTTCAAGGTTAGTTCCGCCGCAATTCGAATTCGCGATACGACGCAACCCGCAATTGGAGGGGGAGACTGAGAGAGGCTACAATGGCAGTTGGAGCAACGCACACATGGGAAGATATCTGAAAGAGCGAAGATGCGGGTGGCAGTGGGCAGTGCTCGCATTGACCTGGAATATGGCGGATTTCTTCCCATGACGTGCGGGCGTGAAATTGTTGCAAAAACTCGCATTTTCTGGGTTGCCGGCTCTCAGTCTCTCGACGATGCACAACCTGCTTCGACGGTTCTGCTGTACCTCTGAGCACATGCTCCGTACTACAAAGCTATCTCTGAGCAATGTTAACCATCCGTACAGGCACCCATCCGCCCTGACATCGTCCACGCGGTGCACACTGGCATGAACAAGAACCGCCGCCAGCCATACGCTGTGTAAGCCTACCTCGCATGCTGCGCAATCGCTCGATCTAACAACAAGCAGCTCCGAGAAGGCTGGTCACCAAACTTCTGCTGAGTCCTGGGGTACTGGTCGCGCTGTCGCCCGTATTCCCCGTGTCTCTGGTGGAGGTACTCACCGTGCTGGTCAGGCTGCTTTCGGTAACATGTGCCGATCCGGTCGCATGTTCGCTCCCACCAAGGTCTGGCGCAAGTGGCACCAGAAGATCAACCTGAACCAGAAGCGTTTCGCTACCGCGTCTGCGCTCGCTGCTTCAGGAAGCCCTGCTCTTCTCCTTGCCCGCGGTCACGCCATCAGCACCGTCCCTGAGGTTCCCCTCGTTATCTCATCGACTGCTTTCGCCGATGCCGCTATCAAGAAGACCTCCGCTGCCGTCGCTCTGTTGAAGGCTGTCGGTGCTGGTGCCGATGTCGAGAAGGCCAAGAACTCCCGCAAGCTCCGTGCTGGTAAGGGTAAGCTCCGTGGCCGCCGCCACAAGCAGCGCCGTGGTCCCTTGGTCATCTACAACCCCGACGAGGATGGCAAGGAGCTTGTCCTTGCTTTCCGCAACATCCCAGGTGTTGAGACCTCATCTGTCTACTCCCTGAACCTCCTCCAGCTCGCCCCCGGTGGCCACCTCGGTCGCTTCATCGTCTGGACCTCATCTGCTTTCAGCGCCCTTGACAAGGTCTACGGATCCACCGCCGAGCCTTCCGCGCTCAAGAAGGACTACCTCCTCCCATCAAGCATGATGAGCCAGCCCGACCTCAGCAAGATCATCAACTCCAGCGACGTCCAGAAGGTCCTCCGCCCCGTCCGTGGTGGAGCCGTCTCCAAGCGTGGTGTCGTACAAAAGAAGAACCCGCTCAAGAACTTCCAGGTGCAGCTCCGCCTCAACCCATACGCTGCTACCTTCTCCAAGGAGAAGTTGGGCCAGAAGAAGCTCGAGGCTAGCAAGCCCGAGCCTGCTGCTGACACCTTCCTCGACCTCCTCCACGAGAACTAGATGGTTGTTGATTAGCGTTATGATTTCCTAAGGTGTTCTCTCTTCGGTTGGGATGGACTGGAATGATGAATAGCTATGAATAAATGTAGCTCTTCAAAAGTGCCTCTGAGAAGGTTTCACTTCCACTTCCACTTATGACCCCCTGATGCTGCTCATGCTTTGTATTGAGTACAATATATGTTCTTTCGTGTGACATTGTATGACTTTCCGCAATGACCAAACAGATTTCACTTGGCAACTGACTTGTGTTATTGTCAATGTTGGACAGATTTTTCGATTCTTGCACCGTAAAAACATGCAGTCTTATGCTAGTGATATCCATACCCAAACGCCGTCGCTATGCTTGGCGGTACCAATCGCCGTGGCACCCAAAATAACCCAGTACTTTGAAAGGAATACAAACAGATGCCCTCACTTGAACAATCTCTTCCCGCCCGTCCTCCCCATAGTCCTCTCCACGCCTTCCAAACTCATACCCGCAAAGCCAGCACCCCCACCATCACGATCCCTCTTGTATCTCCTTAATGCCTCCCTCAAATGCGCCGGTGTAAGTGGTCCCTTATCACACGCTTTCAGCCTATCCTGCAAACCAGCATCCTTCTCTGCCTCCTTCCACAAACTCTCAGACCGATCAACCTGGCCAGGATACCATCCCGCACTTGTGATATCCGAGTTGGTGGGACGATTCCTGTCGTCCTTGATATGAGCGCTTGGTCTCACTAAGCTCTGGCTTAGGATGGGACCGGGTAGATTTGGGTTGAGCAAGTGAGTGCGGACGGCGGACCATTCGTCGCGGACCGTGAGGGCGCGGTCGATGAGTTCACCGATGAAAGTTTTCGAGTAGGACGTTACGGCGATGATGATAGGTTGAGGTACGGATTGGGAGAGTGTTTGATTGACGAGTTTACGGACTGTTTCGCGCTTGAGGCGAATACGGCGGTAGGTTGCGTAGCGGTCCATTTGGGCGGGGGTCATGAAGTCTTCTAGCATGCTGTTCATCGCATTGGCAATTAGTGAACTGGGTTTGGATAGCAGAAAGTTGATGGTGGAACATACCGTTCGTATTCCTTCTCTTGTTTCCTTCGTGCTTCAACACTCATGCCGCCTTCGATTTCCATACCCATCTCCTCGCCCATCTCGTCATCGTCGTCGTCTTCTACTTCTCCGTCGCCATCTTCGTCTTCACCTCCGATTGCACTTCTTCCGTCGCCGCCTTTGCCTCCTCTTATACTTGAGCCAGCGACACTACCTCCGTCTCCACCCTTCTTCCGCCGTTTCTTTCCTCCTGCGCCGTTCACGACTGATGTAGTAATGTTGCTTTCCACGGAAGGTGAACGCGAGTATTGGCGGGGGGAACCTCCGACTGATTCAGCGTCTGGCGAGAATGCGTTGCGGAGATTGGAGGGTTTGCGCTTCTTGGTGGGCGCGCCAGAGTGTGAGGATATGCTGCCGCGCTTGCGACTACCGGGGACATTGAGCTGTGGGATATGTGGTGGTGACGCCATGGTCGCAACGGCAATGCGAGTGTCGTGTTCTGTTTGCGGCGTCACAGTAATGCGGGTTGTGGTGAAGACCGTCGACTTAACAATGGAACGACACTGGGGAAGTCGCGATGGCCGCCAAGCAAACGGTGCAGCGACCACTAGCGCGTTTCCTGCTCGGAAAGCGCGACCGGGATCAATTTCGTCATCGACGCTCGAGAGATGGTTAATGGCGCCTTTACTCTTACTGAGCGTCTGCGCTCTAGATTTTCACCATGTAAATCACGATATCAGCAGGCGGTCTGCCATCAACACTAATTCAAAGCAACATCTTCATCTGCTTCACTTTACGCCGTATAGTCGCATCACCAAAGAGTGAATAGAAGATGCCGTCCTACGAAGAATCATATGGCCAACAGGCCTCTCAAGCAGCAGTCACAGGTACAGGCGCAACCGATACCGACGGTGCCGTCCAAGCCCCACCTGACTCCAGATCCCCCTCTGAACTCCCACCTGCTGCCCTCGACTTAGCAGCGCGCCTCTTCGACCTCGCCCGCAGTGGGGACACATCTACCCTTTCCCAATACGTCAGCGCCGGCATCCCCAAGAACCTCACCAATGCATCCGGCGACACACTTCTCATGCTGGCATCGTACCACGGTAATCCCGAGACTGCAAAGATGCTCTTAGATAGCGGCGCCGACGCGAATGTGTTGAACGGGAGAGGTCAGAGTCCTATTGCGGGCGCGGTGTTCAAGGGATATGACGACGTTGTTAGAGTGTTGTATGAGGGGGGAGCGGATGTAGAAAAGGGGCAACCGAATGCTGTAGATTGCGCGAGGATGTTCAAGAGAGGAAACTGCTTGAAGCTATTTGGGGTGGAAGAGGGGGAAGGCACCGTGGTAGACGTGGATGCACACGCGACGTCGTAGTGTAGAGATCCTCCATGTCAACGTCTTGATGATATGAGGGAGGTTTTCCTGTAAGCCAACGAACGATGCAACAACGACCGGAGAGTATATATGTATTACTACGGAAGATAAATTCCAAGCATAAAACTACGAAATCCAGCACAAAACTGTTCAGTTTGGTCTGCCTAGAGTAAAAATCCTATGGATCGTGGTATCATATCACCTGCCTCTACCTCTCTACTTCTTCTGCTCTCCCTTACCACCACCAAACATGCCTCCAACGTAACCCCCAGCGCTCTTCGCGCCTCCTGCAACACTGCTCGCACCGCCCTTCACTCCATCCGCAGCACTCTGGCCATAGCCACCCAGTGGGCCTTGTCCCTCGATGGGCTTGCCTTGTTCATCCTTGCCGCCGCGTTCAGCACGATTGATACCCTCTTTGGAGACGGCGTCACCGAGGGGTTGTGCGATTCCTCCTTTGCCAACTTGGCCGCCGACGAGGCCGTTCACACCGTCTTGGAGGTTGTCGACCTGGGATACGCCTGTGACTTTGGTCTTGTCGAGGTTCTCTTTAGGCGATGTGTTAGGGACATGTGATATGGCAAGACGAGATTAAACTAGAATAGACGTACGTTTGGTAGCGTAAGAAGCCTTGTTATCCTTGGTGAACCACTTCAGGTACTGATCCTCGATCCATGGCATCCATGTCTCGTACTTCTGGTTGTAGTACTCCCCTGCAGCCTCCTTGTAGGTTTTTTGTGATCCTTTGTTTTGGTCTGTCATTTTGGGAATGTTATTTTGTGTTGATTGTATTCAAGGTAAAGATAGCAATGTAAACTGTCCGTAGGGTTCGCTCAGGTTGTGGGTATTTGCATGTGCAAGCCAACACCCAGATCGGGCAGCCGACATATATACTCCGCTTGTACATCCCGTGTGTACGCCATCTGCGCCAGCGGTGATCTCATCCTCGATCACTTGCACCGTGCTCGTTACAAGTTTGTGGCCCGCTGTGGTGGCATGTAGACAGGGTTATTGCGCAAGATGGTGTTGCGCTATACGTCATCTGAACCATGAAATCGAGGCCAACTGATCGTCCCGCGTGGAAACCTGCACGTCGGACGTATCTCTTGGCTGGATATCCGCCATTCAAGTATCCAGACAGGGCCAAGGGCGTCTAGACTCTGGAACTGGATGTCTGGTGCGCTTGGTATGATTGGTTGATGGAATCTAAGATTGTGTTGGTTGGGTTCGGTGCGATTAGACATGTGAAGCGAAGCTAGCAGCAGGCCGCACAGCTGGAACTCACGACTACCACATTCATGCCATGAGAACAACTGCACGCGTGTTGAGCACAATTTTAGAGTTTCACGCAAACTACTACTGAGAAAGAGATTCCTAAGTTGTAGTGAATAGCCGAGATGAAGGCTAAACAGTACCTAGGTAGACACAAACGAGCCGCGACACCACAGCGCAATCCCGCATAGTCACAGTTAGAATCCGTGCGAGATAGTGCAATGCGTACCCAGAGCTTTTCGATGCTCGAAACAGAGTCCAGCTTGATCTAGACTACTTCTCGGTACGTTTCGAAGCGATTCTCACCTTACATCCTTGGAGCGGTGACTTCCTAGCGCTTTTCTGATCTCATACTTGCGTTCTCGTCTCTGTCACTTGTTACCGCTTGCTGAAGAGCTATTTTTACTTTCTGTGCATGCCCTGAGTGAGAGAAGAGAGGCATGGGGTGATGTGCCACACGGAGCATTCGGACGTGGAACCGAGTAAGACTTCTTAATTGCACGGGCTACAAGGTTCGATCGAAGCTCATGGTGGTCGAAGTACACCAGAGGAATCTAATCTTCTCGTGTTTTCCTAGCATCAGTACTATTGCATTTGAGTTGTCCACGTTTATGTCCGTATTTTTGTTTGAGTTAGACGCATTCGTTTACTCTTATACTATTGTAGTTGTGCCATCAACGGTGCCTTGAGCCCGCCTCATACATCTTGTTCAGATATCTGTGTACCGCTGTGTTCTTCTTTGTGCTTTCATCACTCACTATTGGCTTCACACCGCTCCTAGAAAGCAGCGCTTCTTCGTACCTACCCGCGAAGTAGTTCTTGGCGCCCCTCATATCCTTCTTTCACGCAATCGCCCACTCGATCTATTATACTTCATCTAATTCATGTTATTCCGCCGTCAGTAAGGCCCACCGTTTTCATAGCCAAACAACCCAATTAGATAAATAGACTTCCTCGAAATGGCCGATAACAACAGCGCCGATACTGGACTCACAGATGTTCACCGTTCCAATCACGTCCATTCCGAAACTCCTGTACAACTCATAGATATCCCAGGTATGGATACCCCAGGTATGGAACAAGAGCTCACCCAGGTTTCACGTCAAGAGCTTGCATTACCCTCTCGTATGTCCACAACACCACACAACCACAGTTTTCAACCACTCGCACCACCTACTGGAGTCATGTCCACACCTCCTATACCTCACGAGAACAACGTCACGGCCCCGCAGCGAGGACCGAAGAAGCCTGTCACTACGCTCGTTTCCATGCTACCCAAGACCACCTACAATGAAACAGACGAGGCAGAGGATACCGTGAGAAGCCTGGCGTATATCAGAATACAGCTCCAACTGCTGCAGTGGTTAGGTCTTCATGCATCCGATACACTCACTGTCCGACAAGCTTACTACTGGACGGAAAATATAGCGGAAGACAAGCATCCACAAGCCAAGGATGCACTACGTCTATGCTACTACATGCGTTCTCAGGGCTTCGACACTTATGCAAAATTCCAGAAAAGCAGAATGAGCCTATATATAGCCAGTCAGCCTACTGAGGTTACGAGTCCCAAGTCCGATCGGCTATATTGGTGCCAGGATCATTTGACCAACGAGGTCGCTCACGAACTACGTACCGTACCTGTATCCTCTGGAGCTCGGGGAGGAAGACGCAACGCTTTCTCATCGGACCTCACTCAACAAATCCAGAGGCTCCAAGCTACCGTGGATGCAGTTATTGCGGCAGGCACTGATATTGCTCGAGCGCAATCCAGAAATACTCTTGCTGCTGCCGCCGGCCAAGATGAACATGGAGAAGACACAGGGGATAACGCCGGTACTGTGTCGGAAGGTAACGCAGGACGAGAGAACGAAAACGGCCAGCCGACCATGGGCTCTCTTGCAGCACGCATCGCTGTTGCAAGAGCAGATTTGCAGACTCTGCTTTTCTCCGATTCTCCTGACACAGAGTAAGTCATCACCTTTATCCCAGAAGCATGATCTAACATAAAACCTAGCGCCATTGACGCTGCTATCGCACGTGTAGCAGAGCTAAACAGCCAGGAGAACTAGATGATGTGCAAGTGCCCAAGTTGGGAAGATGATGAAATGATAATCATGCCTGAATAGTAATTGAATGACTCCAAAGCTGTTATAGAGTGGACTTATTATTCTGGAGATATGTGCAGTAACCTACGCTGATAACATCAGCGGAAACTTTTGAAGACTATGCTATGCTTCTCCATTTTGGCGCCTCTGATAGGAGTTGGGTATATAAATCATCCGATTCAACTCTCGCATCCATTGTACGTTCCAGAACTTGGCTATTCAATACCAAAATGACTTGACGGGGGCTCATGGCCGGTGCGTGCTCTTCCAAAGTTTGGTAGACTGCCATCATGTTCCTCTATCACGGCACAGAGAAATAACGAGATCGAACGCTACTTGCCTCCTCAGATACTTGTCATGTCCGAAGCAGTTTTCTGAAAGTACTGAAATTGTCTGTCATGTGCAAGGGCACGCCCATGCTAGGGCTGACGCTGTAGCAGTGTAATACGATGGTTTGCTTATGGTGTAACAGTGTTGCTATTAATGTGGTTCAAATTCGAGTCGACGCCGATGAGTTAAGCGCTGTAAAGATGCAAGGGCAATACCTGCGCACGTGAATAATCATGAAATCTGATGATGACGAGTGTCCAATGACCAGTAGTGTGCGTGCGGAACATGGAGCAGAAGCCGAGCAGTACCACAATGACCATGACTAAAGTATGATGCTGTAATGTCACGCGACAACATCATGACTGGTAAGCAGCAAATACGGCCTTGAGCGGCGAAGTGTTATCGCAGCGCGCAACCTCACGACGACGGATATTTTGGTGTACCACACGTTCCTGGCTCTTGCTCGAGAATGCGATCCAGGCGTTGCGCTAGAGCTTCGCGCATTGTTTACGAATAGAAATAGTGGTCAAGCACGGGCGTATCGCGGACCGCTGTCTGCAGCCAGCCACAGGCGCGGTACCAATGACATGGAGGGCAATTCGCGTAGCACGAAAAGCGTTGGACCTGCGTTCGTTGGACTCCACTTCGAAATTACACGTTCAACACGCAAATGCTGCGGGGAAAACGTCGAATTCCCATGGGGGAGCGCTGGGGCCAGAAGACAGAATAATCAATAGAAAAAAGGAAGACATGTAGAAGAACGATATCCCCAGATGATGTCGATGCAGGTATGCGCTAGCTGCAGCGCTTCATGCAGATCAGTTCAAGCGAGAGGTTGGGTCCGTCCGGTACATCCGCCTTGCCACGGATATCAGAATTGTCGCGTTTGATTCGTGTCGAATAGAGCAGAAGGCGACACGGAAAGGGCTGCACTGTTTGCGGCTGCTGCGATGGGCAAAAAGTGGTCAAGGGCTTACCGGTGGGCAGCCTTGCAAGCCACCAGGGCACCGGAGAGCTCTGGCTGGCTGTCAGAAATGATGGTAGCCTAGCCGGGTGACAACAAAGACGCGTAGAGTCACGCTGGGACTGGGAGTTGTATGTCGTGTACTGAATGCACAGAGTGCTGTCGCGAAATTGACGCGACGACGAATGCGATCATCGTATATGATTATGAGTAGGTGGAGGAGTGGAGATGTTGGAAGTTGGTCTTTGAGCAGGCGCGTTGGTGCGTACACATGAGGCGGTGATGGATCCGGCTAGCGCAGAGGCCACATTGCTTTCAAAGGCAGTCGCGACCGGCGCAGTTCATCGCACCACGCCCGATAAGCATCAAAATATGTCTCGCACTCGGTAGACGACCTGGACAGTGAGGACATGCACTCTGTTTGTACATGCATCACTCTGGCCGGCGCCGTTGATGTTGCAAAAATTTCCCTCTACTCCCTGAAACGGGACGCTCGGGCCACCGCACTAGCCCGTTCCTGGTGGTGATCCAGCCTACTTAATGACCTGTTCATTCTCTTAGATAGGCCCGCAGCCCACCTTCTCCGAACGCGCTCCCGGCACCGCATCGAGTTACCACTCCGTCACGTGACTCGCATACACACCTCTGACTACATAGCCCAACATCATTTGCCGTGCTCAGTGCTTCAATGGCCACGCCTGCGGGCGCCTAGTAATTTCTAATTCTTCCGGTTGCGCTCCACTTGCGAGCCTGGCTGTTCATCCTGCGGCGCAAACATGAGGTATGTCGCATATCGCATCGATGCATGCATGACGCGCTAACGCTTTGATAGTGCCACCAGATTGGACCGTCTCGTAACGTAAGTATACCCGGTCGCAACATCTTGCATGCTCTTCGCAACTTGATACACTACAGTTGCAGTCTTTTGCGACAGGTTTATCTTGCCTCGACAGCCTTGCCTTACTCGACACTTTCTGACTCTCGCTAACCCACGCCAAGGCTCCTCGAGACCGGCAGCACAGCATTAATCCGAAACACAGCAGCAGACCAGCTCGCCGACGTCCAAAAACAACATCCCGACGAACTTTTTAATCTTCTTACTCGAGTCATTCCCTACCTGCGATCCAAAAGCTGGGAAACTCGAGTTGCTGCTGCCAAGGCCATAGGAGGCATCGCCGCCAATGCCGACAAATTCGACCCCAACGCAGAGGATCCCGAGGGGCCTGTCAAACCGGAAGGCCAGTCAGATTCAAATGGCGAAATCAAGTCTGAGGATACCAACGGCGCGTCGGTCAAGAAGGAGGAGAATGGCGACAGCACTCTACCACCGCTCACCGACGGGCTCGATCTTGCTACACTTGACTTGCCTTCCATCCTCAAGTTTGGCAAAGTCCTAGCTTCTCTCGGAACAAAGGAACATGATTACAAGCTTGCAGCCATGGATCCTGCTGAACGACTAGAGTACCAAAAGAGTACCCTGCTCAAGCGTCTCGGCTTCGAAGGCGCATGGGTTGAGGACCTTACACCACCCCAAGAGCTGATGCCGCAAACGCCGGCTCCCAAAACACCTGCTATAAATCGCATCGACACCAATGTTTCACGATCAGATAGCATGAACAATGCCAGTTCTCCTACTGCAGGCACACCTGATGGTAAAGGGCTTAGCAAGCGTCAACAAAATGCCCTACGGCGCAAGAACAAGAGGCAAGCTGCCGGAGGTACTAACAAAGTACAAGTCGTCGACTTCAACTCAAATTCACGAAAAGACTCACAACCAGACCTTGTTGAGACGCCGGTACGCCCACACCCCGTGGCCCTCAAATTTGAGAAATCGGAGAACGGCGACGAAGACGAACCCATGAACGACTACTTCTCACTCGAGCGCAACGGTGGGGACGACGATGCGAAATTCGTCAAAGAGTTCAAGGGCGCGCCAGTGGCAGAGAAGTCATCGTTCCAGACTGAGGCTGAAGAGGCCGGATTGGAATGGCCATTCGAGCGCGTGTGTGCGTATCTCTCTGTTGAGTTATTTGACTACACTTGGGAGGTACGTCATGGTGCCGCAATGGGTCTTAGAGAGATTCTTCGTATCCACGGCGGTGGTGCTGGCAGACGGAAGGGTCTCAGTCGGACTGAGAATGATCGGCTCAACCAGCGATGGCTCAACGATTTAGCATGTCGCATGATCTGCATCTTCATGCTTGACCGCTTTGCGGACTTCACTGGCGATAATGCCATCGCGCCCATTCGCGAGACGGCTGGACAAGCCCTTGGTTCATTGCTGCAATACATGTCTCGCGACAACGTTCTCGCAACATTTCAGGTCCTCAACCGCCTGATCATCAATCACAACCTTCCCCTCGACACTAACCCTCTAAGCGCACCATGGGCCTTATGTCAAGGTGGTATGATTGGTTTACGGTATCTTGTCGCCGTTAGGAACGATCTGCTCCTAGAAGATGGTACTTTATTGGATGGGGTACTCGCTGCAGTTATCAGCGGTTTAAGCAATTCCGACGACGATGTTCGAGCAATCAGTGCAGCGACTCTTATCCCGGTCGCTAAGGAGTTTATCGAGATGCGTCCCAAATCACTCGAAGGGTTGATGAACGTAGTCTGGTCGTGTCTCTCCAGCTTACAAGATGACCTGAGCGCGAGCACTGGTTTCATCATGGATCTGCTGGCGAAGCTTTGTGGCTTTCCTCAAGTCTTAGAAGCCATGCAAGCCAACGCACGACAGGACCCAAGTCAATCATTTCACGAACTGGTGCCTCGACTCTTCCCATTCCTACGCCATACAATCACCAGTGTTCGCGCGGCGGTATTGCGTGCTCTGATTACTTTCCTCAATATCCAGAGCGAAGGTGCAGACAGTTGGGTAGACAGCAAGGCATTACAGCTTGTTTTCCAGAACATCCTGCTCGAACGCAACGAGGGCGTGCTGAAGCTCTCTCTCCAGCTTTGGAACGCTATCGTGGAGGCCCTGGGTAACCAGCTGGCCACTCATATGGAGCCCATACTAGATGCTGTGATCCCCCTCACCCTGACGCCTATCGGAGTTTCTCGTCATCCGATATCGCTGAATAAGTCACTACTCATCAAACCTTCTGGGCAAGCCATGGGCCCGCCACCAGACTCTGAGCCGAGTCGTAAATCATCTCCGCCAGATGCTGGTGAGCCGGCTCGGAAGAGGAAGAAGTCTCGCCACGGAAAGGATGACATGTCAACGCCTACTCCAACTTCCCAAAGTCACAACGTCGACGGACATATGATTACTGGCGATCTGGAACTCATCGGAGCGGACGTGATGATTCGCTCCAGGACCTCTGCAGCACAGGCTCTTGGCAAAGCGATGGGAGCGTGGCCTGAGGAACTGAGGTTGGAGGCCTTCAAATCTAGACTATTGAAGCCTCTCTCTTCTCCCAATGCGTCAACCCAATTGACGGGCGCGATCATCATCGAGGAATTCGGAAAGAATTTGGCGACCAAAGATGCCTTGGCTGAATCGTTCGTTCAGGCCCTCCTACCTATCGTCGAAGGCGAAAGACCAGCCGCCTACGAGGATCTCGTGCCGAAACTACAAATCGTTCGAACACAGTGTCACTCTTTGCTGAGCATCTTCCACGAAGCACATGTGCAAAATCTGCCAACGATTGCTGCTCTTGTCCAG